CTTTTCTTCCTCTTTTTCTTCACTCACCTAGCTGCCACCCTAGTTTGAATCCTTCATCCCATCGTTCCTGTATTATTGTGACAGTCTGCTGGTTGTTTTCCAGAGTCTGCTAACTGGCACAGGAGATAGAGTACTGGGTCTGGAGTCATGAAGACCTGAGTTCAAATTTGAACTCAAATACTTACCAGCTAGGTGACCCTGGGCAAGTCCCTTAACCTCTTTCAGCCTGAGTTTTCTCAACTATAAAATGGGGATAAAATAATAACACCTACCTTACAGAGTTGTTGTGAGGATCAAATGAGATAATATTTGTAAAGCACCTAGTAAAGTACCTGACACATAGTAAGAACTATGTAAGTGCTAGCCTCAGTTTTCTCAGCTATAAAATGGGATGGTGATAAAATAATAATACCTGCATCATAGGGTTGTGAGAATCAAATGAGATAATATTTATGAAGTGCTTAGCATAGTACCTGGCACATAGTAGGTACTTAATAAATGCTTATTCGCTCCCCCTTCTCTTTCTTGCCTCCAGTCTCTTCCTATACCAATCTATTCTCTACCCAGTGATTTTCCTAAAGTGTAGGTGTGTCCATGCCATTCTCCTACTTGATAAACTCCAGAAGTTTCAATAGCACCTTTATTTGTCAAAGCTGTTCACAACTTGGTGGCTTCCTGCATTTCCAGTCTTAAACCTTACTTGCTTTCATGAATTCTTTGATCCAGCTATATTGGCCTTCTTGCACACAACACTCCATGAAGCATCTTTGTGTTTTTGAGCTAGCTGCCTGCCATGCCTGTGTACTGCCTCACTTCCTTATTTCTGCCTTTTAGTTCCTTTCTTCAAGACCCTCTTTAAAAGCTACCTTCTGCTGGAAGTCTTTGTTGTCCTCACCACTACCCCACACCCCCTCATGCTTTCCCTTCTGAAGTCACTTTCTATTTATTCTGAATATATGTTGCACATACCTAGCTATTTACGTGGGTCCCCTTAGGCCTTTGTATCTGTAGTGTTTAACAGCATGCCTGGCACATAGTAAGTGTTTAATAAATGTGTGTTGACTGACTTCATTGAACTTTATTCATATCTTTCTAATGGCATTTATTGAGTTTTTACCATGACATGATAAGAATTTGTGATTACATGGATGGTGCCTCCAGCAAACACCAAATACCTCTATCCCTAGACAGTAGACAATTTCTGTTGCCTGAAGAAATTAATCACCCACAGGCCAACGTTCTGGTAATAAGGCATTCTGAACTTAGCTAGGTAGGCTCTTGGATGCCAGACATGGGATCTGTTGCTTTGCCTATACTTGATACCTTTCAAGCTTGGTGGATTCTGTAAGAGTTTGCGGTCTGCAGGCATAGCTTTTGAGAACCAAGTGTCACCTCCAGGCCACAGTGAAACATGGGAGGAGGACTTCAAGGGGAGAATTATCATATGCTTTTTTTTTCTTTTGTGCATATATATGATCATCCCTTTCTAGACTGTAAGTTCCATGAGGGCAGACACTGTTTCTTATTCTTCTTTGTGTAACTCATGACCCAGTGCCCGAAGCTGTGGGTTTATATAGACTGGGGGGCAGGGGTCATGTTTGCAGTTGCACACAAATTATAGAGTGACACTATGAGACTAGTTAGGGCTTTTGGGATGCGGAGTGGAATTCACTGGGTGATTGTCTATGGGATATTGTGGGTCCCTGGTATGTTTTCTATGCAGTGACATTAATTCTGTTTCTGTACTCAGTATGAATTATTACTTCCAGTGAATGCATAGTAGCTGTAGATCCTTTTACTCATACCTGCCAGCTGAGATCTAGACACAAGCTATATTCTGAGGATAAGTATGCATGGAACATGGGCTGGACATTCTAACATATCCTGGGGGAGCATTTCTAAAGAAACCAAGACAGGATTTTTTTTCTTGCTGTGAAGGGGCCAAGGGTGTGAAATCTAGTTCACATCAATCCAGAACCTGCAGGACTAGACCCTGATTATGTTTATAACCTTTACAAAGCTTAGTAGAGTGCATTTCACAGTTCAGTTGATGTTGCTGAATTTTGAAATGAACTAAATTTCTGTGTTTCTTCCATTGGGTGGTTAAATAGTTATACTGTGATTTCCCAGGACTGGTTTTAAGTTCTGATCTTGGTCACACTGTGATCCCCAGGACTAGTTTTAAGTTCTGAGATTGGTTATGCTGTAATCCCCCGTTCTGGTTTAAGTTCTGAATTTGATTATAGAGTGATCCCCAGGACTGGTTCAAGTCCTGAACTATATAAATAGTTTTTCCCTTAGGTAAAACAAGGGTGTTATTGGGCAGCTTCAGGCTAGGTGATAGTGACTGCACTATTTGTCCTTGGTGCTTGAGCAGACATGTACAACAAAAGTGAAGAGGAATCCTTTAAAATCTTGGTTGTAATATCACATGTCAAACACTAGGGGTCACTAGAACAGACAACATTCCTTGCTTTTTATAACTCGTTGGGTCAATGTATTGTGTCATTAATTTCCCTATGCAGAAGTTCTCAAGGTGCCCAAAATAACCAGACCAGGAAGTTCTTAGAAGTCAATGTCTGTCCGGTGACAATGAGTGTATATCAGTGTGATATCTTACCTTAGCAAGTGCCTGCCTGTTGAAGGCTTGACAAGTCTGTGAGTTGCCAGGGATGCCAAGGCTGGCTCATTAGCTCAAGGTCAGATTGTGGAAAGCAAATGGGTCCTAATTTTCTCCTTGAGCCTTCTCTAGAGAGGCAGCCTGGCACAGTGGCCACAGTCTTGGAGTTGGAATCAGAGGAAATGAACTCTGATCAGAGCGTTCAAATTCTGGGTCTGAATAATTGATATTTTGGCTCCCAGTAGGCCACTGATGAGTGGGTGGGAATGTTGTGTGCCATTCCTTACTAAGACCTTGGTTAAATTGCTTACCTTTTCTAAGCCAGTTTCCTCATCTGTAAAATGATGGATTGGGGCTAGATCATCTTTAAAGATGCTTTTGTTTCTTGTTTTATGATCTTCAGGGCTTTCTCTGCCTCTAAGTCTCTCTACAAAGGAATTCAATTCTATCACTATTCAATAAACATTTATCAAGTGCCTAATATCTTCATAGCACCGTGCTGGGGAACAGAAAGATGAAAAACATGATACATTTACTGCCTTCAAAGAGCTTGGGAACAGGAATACAATCTGCATACATGTAACTATGATAGAAGGGAGAATAGCATAAGGGCAAAGGAGAGGTCTCAATGAACAGCTCCAGTAAAATTTGTGGGGGTGGGTGGGCATTTTTAGCTTAGGACTTAAGGGAAATCCACCAGTAGAGAAATTTAATGGGGGATAGGGAGAAGCAGGGTGTGTCTTTGTTTCTTGATTTAGATCAGGCTGGCTTGCCTATAGCAAAGGCTGCATTAGCTAATTCCAGTTGCTTGGGGGCAGGTGGTCTTTTTTATTGCTCGACTTTGATGAGGGCTCAAAGCCTCCAATTGGAAAAATGAATCAATGCCATATTTTGAAAAAACAAGAGTATACCAAATTTTATAGTCAGAAAAGAATCTGCTGTGAAACTTAGCTAATTCCCGAAGTCTGTTCTCAAGGATAATGCCTTTATTCCTTTATTCAGAAGCCTTCTAAACACTGACTTTTCTCAACAATCAATAGCAGTTGAACTCCAATTGAGTTGTAGGGAACGATATCTGGTGTTGGAAAACTGATAAGAAAACATAGCTTCATACTCTCGGGAGAGAGGGGAGGACTATGAGTGTGGGGAATGTGTCATATGCTGTTAGATGTTGCTGTGTCCCGTAGCTTTGCATGAATTTTTTTCTTTGTTACAAAGAAAGTTTCATTGTGTGTTGGGGAGTGGTTTATGGGGAAATAACTATAGTAAATGTGAAAAGCAGCAATATAAAATTCTAGAATACAGTGCCAGGCACAGTTCTTTGGGTCCTAAAGTGCCTTCCCATTTCCAACCTTCTCTCTTTTCTTTGTGTCTTCTAAAATATATATCTTTTATTGATATCTTTAGTTATTATGTTCCCTGAGTTCTCTCCAATATTTGCTTCCTCACCCTCCAGAGAGCCAGCCTTTATTAACAAGTCTTTGTTTCTGCTCTCATTCCTGCTCATCTCTACTCAAGGCATTGCCAGCTGTAAGCAATGCTTGGGAATCTCACGTAGAAACCTGGTGTGACTTCTTAGGGGGTGCCATGCAGCCAAGAATGTCACACCTAGGCCCGTAGTGTTTTACGATGAGTCTTCATTTCACAGGGGGTGTGTTCATTCCTCACTCATGCTCATCAACAGCTACCAGATATGCACAGACACCACACACACAAGCTCACACACAGAGATACATGCACACACACACACACACACACACACACACACACACACTCACATATACATGCATTTGCCATGCAAAAATTACCTGGTGATGAAGGTGACTTTCTTCTCTGGGAGCAGCCAAGTGAAAAGCTCTATTGTCTGGCTTTGTCAAGCAGCCCTTCATGGACCAGATGGATGAGAACACTCAACTTTTTGGCTTCTTGACTGCTCTCTGATGGACCAACTGCTCAAAATAACTGGGTCATTTATTTTGGCTCCTAGTTGCTCGCCAATGAGCATGCGGGAGAGGAGTGTGCCACTGTTGGCTTCACATTCCTCTGACCAACACATGGTTAATGATGGCTGAGGGTTACCTGGTGATGATGATAGGTCTCTTACAAGATGTATTTTTACTCCATGGACAAATAACAGTTGGGGTGAGTCCTAATTTAGCAGCAAAGCAAGTATGATCCCCTTCTCCCTCCCCATTTTTTTTTCTTTTACGAGTTTAGCTACTCTAGACTTGAAAATAAACAGCCAGCTAATAAGCCCTTCCTCTGGAAATGAGCATAAATAATAACAAAGAAAACATCCTGTGCTTCATGCCAACACCCTCTGGGGGGGCAATATAAAAGCCACAGGCAGAAAGGCTCTGGTCAGACTTGGGGAACTCTGGCTTCGTTGCCGTCCTGAGACCTGACCAGCTGGGACCATGGGTTGCTGTCCCACGGACTGCTTCAACTGCTGTGGCGGCTGCCAACAAGACCAGTCCGGGGAATGCTGTGAGATGTGCTGCTGCCAGCCCAGCTGCTGTGGCTGCTGTGGGTCCAGCTGCTGCGGCGGCTCCGGCTGTGGTGGCTGTGGTGGCTGTGGTGGCTCCGGCTGTTGTGGCTCCGGCTGCGGTGGCTGCGGCGACTGCGGCGGCTGCGGAGGCTGCGGAGGCAGCTGCTGTGGCTCTGGCTGTGGGGGGTGCGGCTCCGGTTGCGGCGGGTCAGGTTGCTGTGGTGGGTCCGGGTGCTGTGGGTGCTGCTGTGGGCCAGTTTGTTGCCAACCAACACCTGTGTGTGACACGAAATGAAGACATCTGGAGGGAACCCAGAGGCCACATCTTTATTTGAAGAACTCAGATGGAGAGACCCCCTTCCCCATCCCACCTCCTGCCTAGGACGGCACTCAATCCAAAGACAGTGTCCTCCCTCCCACTGTAGAGCCTGTCACGTGTCCATTCAGAGAAGGAATGCTAACAAATATCCAATCCAGAGATTCAAGGCATTAGGGGGGAAAAAAAAAGACTTATCTGGTGAGAAATTTAAAAACAAAAACAAAAATAAAACTATTTCAAACGAGGACTCCAAAGAAAGAAAAATAAGGGTTCTTTATCAAGTCTTGCCTCTCATGAACTTGTTCAATATCTTGTCATTTCAGGACATCCCTCTTTTCAAGGTGTCTTTGGGATGTACTTCCTGTCTGTCCTCTCTGCTGCTTCTGAGATGCAAACAGGCTTCTTTGCTAACCTTTTAATAAATTCAAGCATTCTGGCATAATTCAACTGGTTTTCTTGGCTCTTCCTTCAGTGTATTGGGTGGGTCCAGGCAAGAAGCATGAAGTGGTGGAGAAAGAAATGATCATTCTTTCTATGCAAATGCTTGAGGGAGAGAGAATATTTGGCCTGAAGTTTCTGAGGGAGCGTGAAGGCCCGGGGCCTCAGACTAAGTCAAGACCATTTTGGTAGGGCCAAGATGGAAGAGTTCATTTAGGAGGCCAGTTTTAGCTGTGGAGGTTCCAGATGCAAGGTTTTGTGGATCAATAATTTTTTAAGATGGTTCTTGACCCTCTTAAGCCTTTCTTTCAAATACTTGTCTTTGACTAGGGTTTCCAATGTATGTCATGAGTATTCTTGTCCTGTGGGCCTATTGTCTATCTTACTTACTGAAAGCCTAGAGTCAGCTATAGCTGATTGTATACACTGGCCAGGGGTGGCCTGATTGTGATAGGTGTCCTGGAACTGAGCCAAACAAAAGAGTCAGAACTTCTCTTTCTTTTCTTCATCTCTCAGGCAAAGAGCTTTTAAAAAAGAAACCTAAAGTCACTGGATGGTAGATTAAGAGTTGGAAGGGATTTAGAGCTCATCCAGTCCAACTCTCTCATTTTACAGATAAGGAAATGGAGGCCTGGAAAAGTTAAGTGACTTGCCTAGTGTTACATATGTTAGAAGCCATAGCAGCTGTTTAAGAATCCAGGTCCCCAATTTACATTGCATTATGGTGGTTCTCCCAGTTGAACATGACAATGACAAATGCAGAATTGAATTAAATTAAACATTTTTCCTGGGTAGATGGTGGTGGTGGTGGTGGTGGTGTGTGTGTTTGTGTGTGTATGTTTTTCCAGGCAAACTCCAAAGTGATATTACCCCGTTTCATCCCAGATAGCACCAAGAAATAGCCATATTGGGTATAAGATCTGAGGTTGTCTGTAAGCTTTCTTTCCATACTGCTCTTTCGTCTCTTCTCTGGCTTTGGTGTGGTTGGGATCTGCTCATATGAAAACCAGATTCTCAAATTCCCAAGAAGTAAACCAAGGACCAAGTCATAGAGTTTTTGTGGAATGAACCTGTAAAGGTTTCTACACCCGACAGTCACAGTCCTGCATTCCTGGTTCTCTAGCTTATGGTATTCTTGGCCCCCAGGAAAGGGACTCCCTTTGAATGAATGACAACAAAGTAATCTGTTGTTATATTGCTGATTGGGGGATCCCCTACATTGGCTATATCCTTTGTGATCTTCACTGTGTAATAGACTTAAATAGATAAATAGATCCTTATTTAGCTAGGCAGAATTAAACAAATTCAGCATCTAACATCATTACGTTTGACTGGACTATAGGCCAGAAAGCTCATCTCTTTTTATTACTACATCTCACCCTCCCACACACATATTTTTGATTAATGAAGAAAGAAAAGAGAAGTTCTGACTTGAACAGTTATCTCAGTTCCCATATATCTATGTGAATCAGGCCTCATTTAGTAGGTCTTTAATCTTCAATCAATCAACAAGTATTTATTATGCATCTACCATGTGGCCATACACTGTGGTATTGGGGAAACAAGTACAAAGAAAGAGACAGACTCTACTTGCCATGAGCTCACATTCTAATAAGGAAGACCAAGAAGTACATATACAAATATAGCGTAAGTATAAAGTTCATAAATACCAATGTATACAAAGTAATCCATGAAATCCATTCTTATTGCTCCCAGGATTCTAGTTAGAGGGATAAACCTCCACACTATTTTCCAGTGATATGGATTGGGACAGGGGAGGAGGGTGTCTTGGGGAGGAAAGCAGGAGATTTTTCCATTTGGAGTATTCTGACTGACTGCTAAAAATGTCTGCCAGAGATACCCTGTGTGATAAGTGAAGTAAAGGTGGAAGTAGAGGGAAGATTTAATAGGGCAACAGATATTCCTAAGGCTGCACAACACTTTGCAGAGTTGAACCAAAAGGCTTATTAGTTTTCATGAGAGAAAACTTGACTTCTGCCCTGAAATGATAACACATCATAATTGCTTACCTTCATATAGTGCTGTGAAGCTTAGAAATCACTGAATGTGCATTATCTCATCTTTTCCTTCCATCAACTCTGTAAGGGAGGTGCAAAAATTAAGCTCATCTTACAGATGAGGAAACTGAGGTTCAGAGAATTTAAGTGATTTTCTCAAGGTCTCTCATAGCTTTGGGCACAATTAACTCCCAGGTCATCCTGAAGCCAAGTCCAGTGCCATACTGAGATGTAAACATTGACTTCTTCATCAGGCAGAAAATCTGACTCTGGTAGTTTAAAACATAGTTTATTTCTCATTTCACTCCAGCTTATAGCAGCAGGGGTAATTCTACATTGATACATGTCTTTGAGATACAAACACCAAGAGAGCACATATATGGCCTGATGTCTTTTGATCTCACCTTTTGCTCCTTTTCTGACTCTCAAAGTTAGGAGCCACTCAGTCTCACAAGTGGATAAGAAGGAGATGGAGCATCTGAAGGATGCTTGCATGGAAGGCAGGGAGGTCTTGGCAAGTGATTACTATGAGCGGGGAAAATGAATGGGCTTGACCAATCCTTGTTGGTTTCAGAACTTTGGTTGTCCTGTGGTGGAGTCAGGAATGCTTGGTTTTGTGGGAGACATCTTGATGAGAGCTTGGCCTCTGTAATCCCATGTGCTCTTTGGGCCCCAGCTCACCCATTAGTAGAATAGAAGGAATGCAGTAGCTGATCTTTAATCTGTGAGCATATGAATCTATTGTTAAAATTGTATTGATAAATTTTGTTTTCATATAATCTTCATTTCCAACTATATCCTGTCTCCTATTGAGCAAGTCATTCTTTATAACAAAGAATAAAAAACCCAGTTTATCAAAGCTAATCATAACAACAACTGGGTCTGATAACAAAGGTGATGCTCCACACCTCTTCAAAGAAGGATTGTTGTCATAATTCAGTCACGTCTAACTCTTCATGACCCCATGGACTATACTGTCCATGGGGTTTTCTTGGCAAAGATACTGGAGTGGGTTTGCCATTTTCTACTCCAGTGGGTTAAGGCAAATAGTGGTTAAGGGACTTGCCCAGCATCATACAGCTAGTGAATGTTCGAGGCTGGATTTGAACTCAGATCTTCCTGACTCCAGGCCTAGTGCACTATCCACTGAGTCACTATCTGTCACCTCAAAGAAGGTTAGAGGACATAAATTTTCTCATTGCTCTTTCTGGGCCCAACTTGTAAACCTTTCATTCTAAATGTATAGCTCATTTGACACAGAAGTCAGGGACTATTTGTTACCAGACAAACGGTAGCATCAAGGAGCTCAGATCTATTTGTCTAGTATCATAGAATCATAGCTGGAAGAGTTTACAGAGGCCTTCTAGTCCAACCACCACAAGCAATATTTTTCTCCCCAGGAATAAATTAGGACATTCTGGAGACAGAGAATTTATAAAAATATTGGAACTTATCATATATCTGTGTACACATATGTAGACATGGTAACGTCCTACTAGTTAACCAGCAACAGCCCCATAAAACAAAGGGCCCCATGGAGATCCCCCAAGTATAAGAAGGGCATACATTTAGCAAGAAAATAAACAGAAACATTTTAATAAGGAGACAAGCAACTCTTCTGCAAACAAAAAACACTCTAATAAGATGTTTCTGTGTAAACTGGTCCAAACAACAACAAGGAAAAGATGTCATGTCTTGAGGAAGCACCCATGACTTAGGAGATATAAAAACTCCAGGGCACACAGCAATGTTCACACTCAGGTAGCTCTCTCCCTACAGCTTAGAGACTTATAGAAAGAAGTAGGTCCAAGATGTCTAGCAGCTGCTGTTCTGGGACTTGCACCATGGTGCCAGCAATTTCTATCTGCTCCACAGACGTGAGCTGTGAAAGTCCCACCATCTGCCTGGCCGCTTCCTGCCCAAGTCCAACATGGCAGCTGGTTAGTTGTGAAGAACCATGCAACACATCCTCAAGCTGTGCCCCAAGCTGCTGTGAATCCTCTTGTTGTGAGCCCAGCTGCTGCCAGCCAGTCTGCTGTGAGCCCACTCCATGTGAACCATCCTGCTGTGAGCCCAGCTGCTGCCAGCCCATCTGCTCTGTGCCCACTTGCTGCCAACCAGTTTGCTCTGTACAAGCTTGCTGCCAGCCCATTTGCTGTGAGACCAGTTCTTGTGAGCCATCTTGCTCTGTGCCCACTTGCTGCCAACCAGTCTGCTCTGTGCCTGCTTGCTGCCCATCCATATGCTCTGAGTCCAGTTGCTGCCAGCCAGCTTCCTGTGTGACATTGGTCTGTGAACCTGTCTGCCATCGTACCATCTGCTGCCTACCCACTCCTTGTGAGTCAACTTGTGTAGCCCAAGAGCCTTCCTGTTGTATCCCCAGCATCTGCACACCAGCCTGCTGTCAACCCACCCCTTGCCAACAAAATGTCTGCCTGCCCAGTCCATGTCAACCATCTTGCTATGTAGTAAGACGCTGCCAGTCAATTTGCTGTGAACCCATTTCCTGCAGACCAACTTGTGTGCCAACTTCCTGCAGACCAACCTCCTGCCAACCACTCTGCTGCCAACCAGGGTCTTCTGCCTCTGCTGTCTGCCGGCCAGCTTGCTCCCGACCCACTTTCTACGTGCCGGGTTCCTGCAGGCCACCTTGCCTTGCCTCTATTTCCTACCGCCCTTCTTGTTACCGCCCCATCTATTCCTCTCCTCTAAGCTGTAGACAGCCTTACCTGACTTCTCTTTATCGCCCAAGTTGTTACCGCCCAAGTTGCTACCGCCCAGGCTACTCCCTACCCTTTCTGCGCAGACCAGCCTGTGTCACCTCCGTTGCTTCTCGACCGGCATGCTGTCAGCCGGTTTGCTCTGAGCCAAGTTCCCCTTGTAAGCCGACTTGTGAAAAGTCCACTTCCAGTGAAGCAGATGGTTCTGAGTCCACTCCCTGCAAAACAGCCGTCTCAGAGACTAGTCCTAGTGAGCCGACATGCTCAGTGACCACTTCCTGCACTCCCACCAGTCCAACCACCTGCGAGTCAGCTGCTGGCAAAGCAGAGGATAGCAAATCATCTGGCTGCTGCTCTAAATCCTGCAGATCCAGGCATTAGGAAACAAGGTTCATCTATGAAGACAAAAGCTTCTGGCCCCACAAGGGTTGGATGAATAGTTAGGACATGTCTGAACCCCACCTCCATCCCTTACCCTATTCTGCTTATGCCATTACAGCTCTGTATGTGATTTAGCACTCAAGATGAAGACCCAGTTAGGAATGGAAAAAAGTGCATCTGGTATCCTTGTCAGAGGCTGCTGTCAAACTATGGAGAGGTGAATGGTGTCTCTTGTCTCTTGGCCCATCATTTTCATTTCAGAAGCTTCTTCTGGTCTGCGTGGGTCCCTTGAAGCCTGTTTCCTGTATTTCTGGTCCATCATGTTCTTTTAGATGTGAGAAATTTCTCTTGTCTTCAAATAAAATTGGCCAGGTATTACTCTCGTTACTGGTCACTTATTCCCATGCACTTAATGTTATTCCTCGACCTTGAATGGAGCCATACAACTGGAATTAGGTCAATGGCATCAGGGGCGGGGGCTTTGGAAAGGACTTCTTACAATAAAAGGGCAGTAAAAAGAATAAGAAGTTCCACTAGGCCTGGTCCATAGGAGAATAATGTTCTAATACTTCTTTTCCTAGGAAGCACTCTTCATAAGGATTCTATATATCCCTTATTGAGATATAATAATATAGTGTATAAAATGCTGGATTTGGAATCAGAAACACCTGGATTCAAATCTTGCCTCTGACCATGTATGACTATGGGCATACCAGTCTCTGAGGCTTAGTCTCCTATCTGTTGAATGATGGGGTGGGACTTGATGACCTTTCAGTTCTAAAGCTAGGAATTAATAATAGGTGACATCTATATGGCACAGTATTTATAGACATTATCCAGTCTAAGGTTCACCTAAACATTGTGATACGGTTGTGACAGATATGGTTATCCCAAGTCTCTTCTGACCCCAGGTCTAGGACTTTACTATACTGCATTGTCTCTAAGAACTGAGTCCATCCAAAGAAGAGCTCTGCAGGCAGCACCCTTGAAGGAAAAGGCATAATTACATATGTATATATAGAATACATAATCATAGGCATAATCAAAGTTCATTCTGTATCTCTAATTCAATTCAAGAAACATTTATTAAATACCTGTTATGTGTAAGGACTGTGCTATATGCTAAGGATTTTAAAAAAAATGAGGCAATTCCTGCCCTCTAAATGTTTACTTACTATTGGGACATAAAATACACACACATGCAGAAGTAGCTGTAAGGTAATATGGGCAGGAAGAGAACATTAAGAACTGGGATCAAGGAAAGATTCATTTGGGTGGCATAGTGGACAGAGTGCTGGACTTGGAATTAGGAAGACCTGAGTGCAAATCTGGCCTCAGACACTTAACTTGCTGTGTGATCTTGTGCAAGCTACTTAAACATTGTCTACCTTGGTTTCTTCATCTGTTGAACAGGGATAATAATAACACCTACCTCCCAGGGTTGTTATGAGAACAGAATGAGATATTTTTTAAGCACTTTGCAAACTTGCTATTACTACTTTTATTGTTTCTACTACTACTATTACTACTACTACTGTTACTGTTGCTGCTGTTACTATTACTACTACTACTACTAATTATTAATATTATTTCTCCTCCTCCTCTTTTGGTACCTGAACTGATTCTTGAAAAAAAAGCTGAGAGACAAAGGAGGGAGTGAAATCCAGGCTTGAGGGAAGGTTGTAGGAAGGCATAGAGAAGGGAGATGGAGTGCCAGGTTCAGGAGACAGCTTAGTAGTCTAATTTGGCTGGGATGTAAGGTGCATATAGGGGAATAATGGGAAGTAAGGGTTAAAAGATAGGTTAGGGTCATTGTGGAAGGCCTTACATATTGGAGGGAGGAGCTCATATTTTATCTTAGAGACAATAGGAAACCATAGAAAGTTTTATCAATTTCATGAAAGTCTAGGACTATATGAGATGGACACCCTAGATATTCTCCCCATTTTGTAGATGAGGAAGTTGAGGCTCAGAGAGGTCAGGACAGGAAAAGAGGAATATGAATTGCAAAAGTTGTTACATGCTGTTGGTTGATAGGGTCCCTGGGGTCTGTCACTGTTTCTTCTCCATGGCCATGTGATTGGCTAATCTCATCTTTCTTGGCATGGGACATCCCCCCTACCCCAATCAGGGTCCAGGGAGCTTCTCTAGAAGCCCAAAGGTTTAAGAGATGGACAAAATTTAATTTGCTCCTTTTATTCCTCCTAAGCAGAATGCACAAAGAATGTTTGAAGGTCCTGAGTATCAGAATGTTAATACCAGGAGTCCCTGGATGATATGTTGGTTGGCCTCACTAAATCACAGCTACCTCCTCCATAAAAATCAGAGAATGAATATACATACAGCCAGGGCTGGAGGTCACACAGTAAGAGGAAGGATGATGAGAACGGGATAACGCTAGCAGATGGGGATATGGATCTGGCATTATCTTCTCTGTTGTCAGCTGAACTGAGAGACTCATAGCATTTAGGAGGAGAAAGGGCTCTGGTCCTGTTGCCTCATACAGAAGAGGACCAGAAACCAGATAAGGGAAGGTCACAGGGATAGTAAGAAACAAATTCAAAATTCAAACCCAGCTCCTTTCTTCTCGTTCCAAACCCCATGCTTTCCCTAACGTATCACTTCAGCAGAGAAGCCACAGCTCTTCTCACTATGAAGTGCCTCTTTTTTTTAATGAAATATTAAGTGCCAACTATGTGTCCAGGCACTGTTCTAAGCATGTTACAAACATTAACTCATGTGATCCTCACCATAACCTTGGGAAGTAGATGCTAATATTATTCTCCATTTTTCCGATTAGGGAACTGAGGAAGACAGAGGTTCAGTGACTTGTTCAGGGTCACTCAGCTAGTAAGTATTTGATGATGGATTTGGACTCAGGTTTTTTTCTTTTTGACTTGGGGCCCAGTGTTCTTATCTACTGTGTCACCTAGGTGCTTAAGTGATTAGGTCACATTAAACAGGATATGCTTTGAGGTAGGTTCTGAAAGGGGAATCAACTGTGAAGAAAGCAGGATCATTAGACACACTAAACTATCCTTTCTTGTCTTTCCTAATTGTCTAGTTGTTTCAGTCATGTCCAACTCTTTGTGACCCCATTTGGGGTTTTCTTGGCAAAGATACTGGAGTGGTTTACCATTTCCTTCTCCAGTTCATTTTACATATGAGGAAACTGAGGCAAACAAGGTTAAGTGACTTGCCCAGGGACAAACAGTTAGTAAGCATCTGAGGCCAGATTTGAGCTAAGAAAATTAATCTTCCTGAGTCAGGTCCAGTGCTCTGTGCACTATGGCACCACTTAGCTGCTTCATCTTTTCTGATTAGCTTGTCCCCTTCTGCTGTCTCTGAGCGTGAGTAAGAGAATGCAGGTGTTGACCAGGTAACCCCCAAACTTCAAAATCCTCCTCTCAAAAGAGCCCATCAAGGAATAAGGAGGCAATAATCTCACTGTATTCTAGCTTGGTCAGACCAACCCGGAGTCCTGCACTCAGTCACTTAGGCATCACATTCTAGGAGGGGCATTGGTAAGCTTGGGAACATCTAGAGGAGCAGACTCATAAAAGACCCTGAGGTCTCGGCTTCTGAGGATAAGTTGAAGAAACCTGGGATGCATAGCCCAGAGAAGGGAAGCCCAGAGAAGGGGGATGGTAAAGGTCTCCAAGAATCTGAGTGATTGTAATGTAGAATTGAAATCTCACTTGTTCTGTCTGAATCTAGAGAGCAGAGCTAGGAGCAGCGGGTGGAAATTTAGGCTTGATATAAGGATGAGCTTTCAAATGCAGACATGTGTCATAGTGGAAATCATGTCAGGAATACCTTGAGTTTGAATTCTGCCTCAGGCATTTATTTGTTAGCTATGAGACCCTGGGAAAGTCACATAACCTATTTCAGCCTCAGTTTACTCATCTGTAGAATGAGGATCATCACAGTACCCACGCTGTAGTTTTGTGATGAGGACCAAATGGGATAATTTATGTAAAGTGCTTTGTAAACCCTAAAGTACCATGTAAATGCCAGCAATTAGAAAAATCTTAGAGTAGAGAGAGAGGGAGTGCCTCCCATTTCAGCAAAGGCCTTCAAATAAAGGATCAATGGACGTTTTACTAGTTTTACCAGAAAGGAGATTCTCACTTAGGTATTAGTTGAACTGGATGGCCACTGGGGTCCCTTCCAGTTCTGAAATGGCTATGATCTTGGGAACAGAAAAAGTTCTGAAAGAAGAGGAAGAGAATTTTCATTTTCTTTGGCATCTAATTAGGTCCATCCGGATTTCCTCCTGACTCTGGGTACATGGGGCTGTACTTTGCTTCAAGGCAGCATCAGTGGTTAAGGGCAAACATTCCAAGCAGGAGGAGGGAGTGACACTCACTTAGGTATTGATGGGGGGTGCAGCCTGATGAGAGGTTAGCTCAACTTCTGTTCCTCCTCAGGTGAGGTTGAGGAACTCAACTCTAAATGAGACAGCCGAGTTTGAGGGCTAGAATAGCCTGACCCCAAATTTAGCTACCAAGGCTCCAAACCCACTGGACAAGTTTTGCTTAAGTGGGGCCAACACCTCTGAGGCCAATGAAGCCTGCTAATCAGATGTTTGTACGTACATGAACCTAAACAATAACAAGGAAACGATGCCCAAGACCATGCCCACATGAAGTGAGGATAGACTATAAAAGCCACAGGATGTAAGGGACCTTAGACACAGCTCATTCACTTCTTGAACCAATTTAGCCACCGACAGAATTCTTAACACTATGCCTGATAGCTGTTGTCTCAGAACCTGCCAGGCTGTTCCATCTGCACCTACCATACCCTTCTACTCCAATGGTGGCGCCCATGGAAAGGCTATCTACCTGCCTAGTTCCTGCCAAGGCAAAACGTGGCAACTAGTTACCTGCCAAGAAAACTGCCAGCCATCTAGCTGCAACTTGAGTTGCCCTGACCCTACATGCTGTGAGCCCACATCCTGCCAACTGACTTGCCTTCCATCAGCATCTCATGTGGGTTTCGTCTGCCAACCCATTTGTAATACTGCTAGGTGTTGTGAAGCTAGTGGTGCCCAATCGGCTTGCATTGTCAGCAGTTGTCTGCAACCTTGCTCTGAATCTAATTCCTGCCGATCGACTTGTGATACCACTGCCTGCCAACCAGCTTCCTGTCAGGAAGCTGTGTGTGAGCCTGGGTCATGTCCATCAGCTTGCTGCCAATCAACAGGCTGCGAGTCCAGTTCCTGCCAGCCAATCTGCTCTGAATCCAGTTCTTGTCCTCAGATGTCCTGTCAGCCAGCCATCTGCATGCCCAGTTCATGCCAACCAACTCCTTGCCAGATAAGTTCATGCCAACCAACTAGCTGTGAAGGCCAGTCCTGTGGACCAACTTACTATCAGCCTGTCTACTTTCTCAGCTCTTGCCAACCACTTCCTTACATGCCTGTTTCTTGTCAGCCATCTTTCTGTGTGCCTAGCTTTTACAAACAAACTTCCTGCGTTCCTATGTCCTTCCAGTCCTTTTATTGCCAGCCACCTTCTTATATGTCTTATGTCTGCCAGCCAACCAGCTGCCAACTCAAATGCTCTGTGCAGAATTCCTGCAAATCAGTCTGTGGAACGTCTCTCTCCTGCCAACCAACTCGTTGTGTGCCCTCTTCCTACAAAAGGAACGCAAACAAGTCCACTTCTTTCCAGCCGGCTTGCTGTGTGACTGGTTCTGAAAAACCATCTAGCTGTGGCATTGGTTACTACCAACCTACTTCCCCAAGTTACTGCAAGACAAGTAGACACCTGCTCAGGTCCTGCCGACCCAATAGCTATGCATCCAGCATCCACAAATCTACCTATTGCTAATGGAGAAGACTGCCTCATATGAGAAGTCAAGTCTGCTGAACAGCACCTTGCTGCATTGCTTACGTCTTATTTCTTGGTATACAACAAATTCTCCCAAGCGTATCTTTCTGCTGTTCATCAACTATGCCATACATACTCTCTGATTCCAATCCCGAAAGTCTCTGCAGGCAATGGAAGCAGATGCTAGGAAATGATTTTCTTAAAACACAAGGGAAAGACACTGGGCAACAACGGGTCAAACTATGTTTTGTGTTTCTTGATTCTGTCAATCTCATTTCATTTCAGCAAATGATCTTTCCTGGGTTCTTTCTATACTATTTAAAAGGCAACTTACTGCCTTTGTTAGTAATGGCTAATAAATGTAATAGATTAAACAGCAAATGTCATTCTCATGGCTCTTCATTGATTACAATCTATCCTCTGACTCTATTTCCTCTATATTTCATTTCAACTTGATAACCCTGTAATCATAACTTTAGATTTAATAACCTAAATTTCTAAATTGCTTTAAGGTTTACATGTGAGATTGGGTGGATCAGGGGATAGAACCCTTGGCCTAGAGTCAAAATTACCTGAATTCAAATCCAGCCTCAGACACTTAACAGTTGTGTGACCTCGAGCAAGTCATTTAACCTCTGTTTGCCTTAATCCATTGGAGGAGAAAATGGCAAACTACTCCAGTAACTTTGCCAAGAATACTCCCTGTACAGTATTAGCATGCTCTGGTCCACAGGGTCATCAAGAGTTGGACATAATTGAATGACTGAATAACAACCATGTGAGATAGATCATTAAAATATTATCTCAAACTTAGATTTTAAGAAATTGAGGCTCATAGTAGTTACAACTTGTCCATAGTCATACAGTTAATAACTCGAACTTTAATAACGACTATAAATCTGTTCTTTCTACTATACTATATACTATATTCTACTATACTTTCTACTATACCACAATACTTCTCTGATGTTAGCGCTGTTAAATCCATGGCCAGTAAGTGCTAGGGTCATCTATTTTCTATCTGCTTTTCTTCATGTCACTGGCTTAGTAGTCTTCCTGATGCACAAATGAGCACGACATTCCTCAAAAAACCATCATGGCTCTTTATTATTCATGGGGTAAAACACACCCTCTGTATCTTTGCGCTTAAAAGCCTTCACAATTTGGCACAACCTACTTTTCTCACATTACTCTTTATACATATTCACAAACACTTATTCCAAAATGACTAGTTCGTAATTTGATAGCACTTTTTCCAATATTTAAAAACTTTCTCAATTTTATCTTAAAGCACCTGCTGGATGTCTCTATATGATGCCAATACCTCAAGCTTAATATGTGAAACTGAATCTGTCATCTTGACTTCCTCCCTACTCCGTACCTTCCCCATTTCTGTTGGAAGATGGCACCACCATTTTCCCAGTCATTCAGGGTGTTTCCTTTGCCCTGCCACCCTATTCCACTCTCCAATCCCAACCTTTGTATATTAAGATTATCCACTCTGCTCCTCCTCCTCCTCCTTTTTTGCTCAGGCCCACATTGCTACCCCTAGCACCCATGATCATGGCACCTGTCTTTTGAACTTACCTCTCCCACTCCCAACCCCAAAGGGAGTTGAGAGCCAGGTTCTCTGGAGGACAGTCTGCCCACTCTGTTGTCTTGACCACACCTTTGATAGGGCTGTCAACTGTCCTCTGCAGTGCTATAGTCCCCCTCTCCCGACTACCCCCAGGTAAAAGAATTCCTATTTAGGGATCTGTAAGTACATTGTGTATTTCCAGATCACAGTAGCTGTACATTTAATATCAGGTTCCTTAGCATCTAGAATAGTACCTTGCACTCATAGGATCCTTTAGTATCATAGATTGAGAGCTAGAAGGGATCTTAGAGGTCATTGAGTCCAATCCTTTCATTTTACAGATGAGCAAACTGAGGGTCTGAGAGGCAAACAACTTGCCCAGGGTTACACAAGTATCTAAGGCAGGATTCAAACCTTGAGGTCTGTGGTTCCATCCATTATGATCTCTAGTTTTGTTGTTGTTGTTGTTGAGTCATTTCAGTTGTGTTTGACTCCTCATGACCCCATTTGGGATTTTCTTAGCAAAGATACTGGAATGGCTTGCCATTTCCTTTTCCAGTTCATTTTTACAGATGAGAAAACTGAGGCAAACAGGGTTAAATGACTTGCTCAGGATCACACAGCTCATAAGTGGCTGAGGCCAGATTTGAGCTTAGGTCTTCCTGACTCCAGGGTTAGTATTCCAACTGCTGTGGCACCTAGCTGCCCTAGCTGACATCTAGCTAGCTGCTCCTTAAGCATTTAGTAGTTGTTTAATAAAACTTTGATGAGTTGTTGGTATATTACATTGGTGCAACTTCACATAGAAATCTCTACTTCAAAGTCAAGACAAACTAAGCATGGAGTAAATGTGCCTGAGGCCTCCAAATCCATACTCTACACTTGACTTATGCACGGATTCTGATGAACAAGAAAAGCTGAGAATGGAATGGTCTACATAAAGTGGGAAAGTTGGGAAATTAGGGGATGATGAAAGGGAAGAAGACTGTGTTGAGCCCCATAGATCATGAAGACCAGTGGATTATTAGTCTTGGGAGGTTTAGAGTTGGTGGGCCATTCTGTCACAGCTAGAGATGGTGAATGAAAAAAAATCATAAGGAGAGATGGATGGTTTTGGGAGGAGGGTAAGTTTACTCATAAGAAGAATGTGTACCTGCGTGGTATGAATTCAAGAATTTAGAGAAAGAACACCACTCCTCAGACAACTCCTTCACCTACCCTCCATTGCCCAGAATTCCTTTAAAAGGAGACAAAGCAATGATGTGCTCATGTTTAACAACTGGCTCACCAAAAAAAGTACCCATAACACATTTTTAAGTTTGGTTTGAATCATTCACATTTTCTTTGTCATTTTCTTAAATCTAGATGATCAATAAAATAATATATCAAGTCTTGATCTGTAGAATTTGCCAATTTCCAATGTGTAAGTTCTCATGCTGAAAATTTAACAATTAGCTCTCAAGAGAGCTGATTATGTCTGTCCCTAGCACACCTCTGAGACAAAGTAACAACTGGATTTTGTAATAAGGCCTAAAATGCAGATAGAGGTAATAATATTGACAAAGGTAACATTTCAAACTCATGCTAAGGTGTAAATAACTAGTACCAGATCATAGGGATCATAGACTTAAAGTTAAAAGGGTCTTTAGAGATCCTCTTGTCCAACTCCTTAAATTTAAAGAGAAGACTACTGGGTTCTGGAGAAACTTAAGTCACACAGGTATCAGACCAATTCCTGAGAGGAGGTTTTGATAGGGAAAGGTAGAAAAGTATTCATATATTATATGCCAGAAAGCAATAATAGCTAGTATTTATATAGTTCCTTGTGGTTTTCAAAGCACTTTATCCTCATCGTATCCTCATAATAACCCTGTGAAGTAGGCATTATTATTACTCCCATTTTACAGATGAGAAACTGAGGCTGAGAATTATCAAATGATTTGTTCAAGGTAACACGGCTAGTATGTGTCTGAGGCAGGATTTGAATTTGACTACCTGACTCCAAGTCTACTAAGGTTGGCATATGGTGGGGGGGGAGGAGGAAGAAAGAAATGGAGGACACTCAGAAGAAGGTGCAAAAGGGAGAAGGGAGAGGAGGAAGAAACTATCCTCTGGATTGTTGCTCTACTTTGCCTGGAAGTATAAGAGCAAGATAGAATTAAGAAAAGAAACCAGCCTTCTTAGAGAAACAGAATGAGATGAGGACCTGGTCTAGGAAGGGCAGAGATTTAGTAGCATATTATATGGAGAGAGAAAGAGAGAGAGAGAATAAGAGAGAGAGAGAGAATAAGAGAGAGAGAGAGAGAGAGAGAGAGAGAGAGAGAGAGAGAGAGAGAGCCTATTTCTTTGTCTGTCTCTCTATCTACCTATCTATTGATCTAGAAATGAGGAAATTCCTCAGCCTGGTGTATTAACATCTAAACTGGCCTTTGTATCTATATGATGTGTGTCCCTGTAATTTATGTCCTGAGATTCCCAACCCTTCAATAAAGTTGTGTCTGGTATGCTAAATGACTAGCTGAATGTAGCTTAGGAACTGACTCATTGCCAAGGAATGGAAAGGAGATAAAAAAAAAGTCTAAAGGGCTTCTTTCTTCTGGAGTTATAGAGTTATAGAAAGTATGGTAAAGAATGAGGGGAAAAAGCATAGGATTTGGAATTAGGTGATGTGGGTTCAAGTCTCTTCACACATACTTATTATCGGTGTGATTAGGGGCATCACTGAGCTTTGGCCTCTTGACTTGTGAAATGAAGATAAAGAGAATTGTACTACCCATCTCCTCAGGTAGATGTGAGGAGAAGCTCTTTGTGAAATATAAAGTGCTATGTAAATTGAAGGGATTATTATTATTAGTGATGATAATAACTGTTCCAGCTGGATGGAATCTGGTCCAGCACCCTAATTTTACAGATGAGGGAACTCAGGAAGGGCTTTAGCTTCAAGAGGGAACTCCCCTGCCCCACCCCAAGCTACCTCCACTCAAGTGGGGTTGACAGAAGTAACTGGCAGGAAAATTGAGGCCATCTATTAAACTCTCCTTATTGTTTCTACTACTTGTCCTCACCCCAGTTTCCAAGTCTTGCCTTGTCTATTTCTAAAGTATCTCTTGTCACTTTTCTAGTCCCTTGGGTAAATAATGCCAACACTTAAAAATAATTGATCAACCAATTGGTTTGGTTGACTGATTTAACCCCTCTGAGATCAGGCTTTTTAAGTGTTAACATAGCAAATAGTTTACTGTCCTGTGACTCAGTTTCTCCAATTCTAAATGGGGAAAAGAGGGGGACAGCTAGGTGGCACAGTGGATAGAGCTCTGGTCTTGTGGCCTCAGACATTTGACACTCATTAGCTGTGTGACCCTGGGCAAGTCACTTAACTCTGATTGCCTCACCAAAAAGGAAAAAAATAAAATAAAATAAATGAGGAAAAGAGACAGTGTGATGCAGAAAGACTTCTGGACTGAGAGACAGGAGACCTCAGATCAATGCCTGGCTCTACTCATTATAAGGTATGTTACCTTAGGCAGGTCACTTCATGTATGTGAGCCTATGTTTCCTCATCTATGAAATGAGACCATTGAACTAGATGGTCTCTAAAGTCCATTCCAGCCCTACAAATGTATATATGATTCTATGTGGTACAGAAGGAAGGGCACTGGTTCTAGAGTCAGAGGGCCTGGGGTTGAATCCTGCCTCTGATGATTATGAGCTGTATGACAAGGTACAAAATCTACCCAGGCCTTGGTTTTCTCAGCTGTCAAGTGAGGG